AAGTCCCTAATTGTTTTTTTTTGAGTCGACACATAAGTCAGGTCATAGAGTATTTGTTTTTCTCTGTCAGATTTAGTTCACCTAACATAATACCCTCTAGATCCATCCATGTTGTAACAAATGGCAAAATTTCACTTTTTATGGCTGAGTAATATTCCTTGGTACATGTATACAACATCTTTCTCCATTCATCTATTGATGGACACATAGGTTCTTTCTTGGCTATTGTAAATAATGCTACAATGAATACTGGAGTGCATTTATCTTTTTGAATTACTGTTTTTTGTTTTCTTCAGATAAATACCCAGAAGTGAAATTGCTGGATCATATGGTATCTCTTCTTTATCATCTGAGTCACTGGGGAAGCAGAAATGCAGGAGACCTGGGTTTGATCCTTGGGGCCGGAAGATCCCCTGGAGAAGGGAATAGCTACCTGCTCCAGTATTCTTGCCTGGAGCATTCCATGGACAGGGGAGCCTGGCAGGTTACAGTCCATGAGGTCGCCAAGAGTTGGACATGACTGAGTGACTAACAACACCTGGTAGTTCTCTTTTTAATTTTTTGAGGAAATGTCATACTCTTTTCCATAGTGACTGCATCAATTTACAGTCCCACCAATAATGTGCAAGTGTTCTCTTTTCTCCACATTCTCACCAACACATTGTTCTTTTTGATGATAGCCATTCTCACAGTTGTGCTTTTAATTTGCATTTTTCTGATGATGACTGATACTGAGCATCTATTCATATGCCTGTTGGCCATCTGTGTGTCTTGTTTAGAAAAACATCTATTCAGGTCCTCTGCCCATTTTTAAATCAGGTTTTTTGTTGTTGTTGAACTGTATGAGTTCTTTGTGTATTTTGGATTTAGTTTCAATATAGTCCCTTTATTGAATATATTGTTTGCAAATATCTTCCCCATTCAGTAGGCTGTCTTTTTGCTTTGGTGATAGTTTCTTTCAATGTGCAAAGTCTTTTTAGTTTGATGTAGTCCTGTTTGCTTATTTTTGCTTTTATTTCCCTTTCTAGGAGACAGACCCCCCAAAAAAAAAAATATTGCTAAGATGGATGTCAGAGAGCATACTGCTTATGTATTCTTCTAGGAGTTTTATGGTTTCGGGTCTTACATTTAAGTCTTAATCCATTTTGAGTTTATTTTGGGATATGGTGTGAGAAAGTAGTCCAGGTTTGATTCTTTTGCATGTAGCTGTCCAGTGTCACCAACAGCATTTATTGAAGAGCCTGACTTTTCCCCATTCCATATTCTTGCCTCCTTTATTGTAGATTAATTGATCATATTAGTGTGGGTTTATTTCTGGGTTCTATATTCTGTTCCATTGATCTATGTGTGTTTTTTGTGTGCCAATAGCATACTTTTAAAATCAGGGTTTTTTGTTGGTTTTTTTTAGTAAACTTTAGAACAGTTTAGACTTATAGAAAAATCAAGAAGATAGCACAGAGTTTCGCTGTCTTTACACTCAGGTTCCCCTATTATAAATATTTTACATTATATTGTACATATTTTCCAGTAGTCATGTATGGATGTGAGAGTTGGACTATAAAGAAAGCTGAGCACCGAAGAATTGATGCTTTTGAACTGTGGTGTTGGAGAAGACTCTTGACAGTCCCTTGGACTGCAAGGAGATCCAACCAGTCCATCCTAAAGGAAATCAGTCCTGGGTGTTCATTGGAAGGACTGATGCTGAAGCTGAAACTCCAATACTTTGGCCACCTGATGTGAAAAAGTGACTCACTGGAAAAGACTCTGATGCTGGGAAAGATTGAAGGCAGGAGGAGAATGGGAAGACAGAGGATGAGATGCTTGGATGGCATCACCAACTTGATGGACATGGGTTTGAGTAGACTCCGGGAGGTGGTGATGGACAGGGAGGCCTGGCATGCTGCGGTTCATGGGGTCTCAAGGAGTTGGACATGACTGAGTGACTGAACTGAACTGATTGTACATTTGTCACAATTAAAGAACCAGAATTAGTCCATTATTTTTAATTCAGGTTTACATTTTATTCAGAATTCCTTAGTTTTTACCTAATGTCCTCTTTCTCTTCAAAACACCCACCCAGAATACCATATTACATTTAGTTGTCATGTCTCCTTGGGCTTCTCTTGTCTGGGGCCGTTTTCTAGACTTTCCTTGTTTGATGACCTTGATAGTTTTGAGAAGTACTGGACCACCTTTTGGTAAAGTGTCTCTCAGTTGGAACTTTTCCTATGTCTTTCTCATGATTAGACTGGAATTCTTGAGAGGAAGGCCACAGAGGTAAAATGTCATTCTGTCTGCATCACATCAAAGGTACATACCATCAACTTGACTTATCAATGTTGATCTTAATCTTGATTACCTGCCTGAGGTAGTGTTTGGATTTTCCACTGTAAAGTTGTTTTCTCCCCTACCCTTTTCAGTCTTTGCAAGGAAGTCACTATGAGTGGCCCACAAGAGTGGTGGTTTACTCTCTTCTTTAAGGGTAGAGTATCTACATACAGTATTTGGGATCATTCACGAGAGGTTTGTATATTATCCCCCATTTTTATCAGAATAGATTTGCTATTTATTTTACATTTGGGGTTATAATCCAATACTGGTTTATTTTATTGCTCAAACTGTCCCAGATTTGGCCTGTGGAAGCTCTCTCAGCTGGCTCCTGTGTCCTCTAACCTATCTCCAGCTTCCTGTTGCTTGTTTGTCTAGCACTTCCTTACTTTCTATACTACAAAATGTTCCAGGCTCATCTTGTATATTTCCTGCTCCAGTCCTAAATTCGATCATCCCTCCAAGGAGAAAGTCAAGGCAACGTTTTAATCTTAGCAAATGTGTATCTGACTGGAAGTTGGGGCAATTTCTCAGGTGGACAGGAATAAGACTCAGGCCACACTCGGGAGGGGACTTTCCCAGCAGCAGCAACCAGAATTGCAAGTCTTCAGTGAGAAATAGATGACTCATCAGCTCCCCAGGTTGTCTCCTCCTCCCCCCTCTTGCTGACAAGACTGTCCCTAAACCAGCTCAGACAGAGAGACCCAGGTTAGAAAGTGTCCCCACCCACAGGGCCAGTGAAGAATGGCCTGTTGCAGGCCAAGTTGGGGTTTAACCATGACCAGCTGATACCTCCCCCATTTGTATTATTTATACTCCCTTCTACCTGCAGAAAGAATTAAATATGATTACTCTCAAATTTACAGCTACAATAAAACTATTTTTAATAATAGCTTGGGTAAAAGGATAAGAACATTGTGAAGAAGAGTGTGTGTGTAGTAATTTTGTCCCAGACACCCAGACTGGGGCAATTTCCTGAGGTTCCTTGAATCACAGTTTGCTAGCACCAGAAATAAGAAATATTTAAGAAATAAATATGAAATAAATAAGCTTCACCTAGCATGTTATAGCTGAAATGGAGCAAGTGATTTCTCAGGAATTACACAGCTAATGAGTTGAAGAAGTAGGAATACTGGAGCAGGTCTCCTGATGTCTAGGTCTTTTCAAATACCCATTCTTGCCTCCCTTTCCAGGAGAGCAAAAAGAATAGCTTTCAGGTCTTCTGGGTGACACAGTGTGAAGGCAACACTTTCAGGCTTCTTTCACTTGCTGGATATCTTATGTGGATGTGTCTGAGAAGTCATAGGGGCTATAATTAGGGGTTATTAGCATCCACAGATACTTGGAGGTAAGGAATGTAGGATGTAGACACTGGGATACCCAAGTGAATACTGGGGATCCTACCATTTCCCCACAGTCAAGTTTTTAATGGTTAAATCAGCAACTTTCTAGTTGTTGTCCTCAACATTTGATCAAAGTTGGTGGGGGAGGGGGCGGGTAAGGAATACAAATCAGAAATCTTGAAACTTTTTTCAAGAGATTTTGAGATTTGGACTTAGAGATTTTAATACTACCTTCTGCTTGAAAAATACAATTATTTCTTTTCTTCAGTCTTCACTGACCTACTCCCAACACTCTCCCTTCGACAACTCATGAAGGAGGTGTTTTCAATGATCTTTATATAGGCTGAGATCTTTGTATAGGCTTGGAATTCAGAGAAAGGATTCTGGGTCTGGTGTCACTTGGTGTGGCTGCAATAAAGAGATGAAATTAGCATCAGGCTATTCTTCACTTGCTCTCTTGGTGACCTTTCTAGGGCTACATGAGATATCATGTCTCTATCTATAAACACCTTCTAGGGCAAGGACAATGGGTGGCCCAGGAGAGCATCAGCAAGTAGATAATTATTATGTGCTTTTGATGATGATGAAGATAATATTAGAGACTTTGGGGATTTAGAAAATATTCAATTGGAGAATTGTCCTTGAAGATCCTCCCCAGCTAGCTTCTCCAGCATCCTGAGATCCTGTAGAGGAGCAGAGTGAAGGTGTTTAAAGCCTGCCTTCAGGTTGAATCTAGAGGAAGCTCTTGCATGGAAGAGGTACAGTACATTATTGCCTGCCATGTTCCCTCTTGAGTTTATCTTCTGCCTCTTCATGATCTTTTTATTTTTAAAAAGTAATTCATTAATAAAATTATTATCCAGACTTTTAAATACTCAAATATGCCTTTTTTTATTGTTTTAATTTGAATAAAGGTTTAATTCGAATATGTTGCATTATGTGTTCTGCAATTTGCTTCTTCTTCCTAACAGTAAATCCTGGATATCTTTCTCTGCCAGGATACCGAGATCTGCCTCATATGGGCAATTCTTTGTTCTGGAACCTGTGATTCCTTGAGCGTCAGTTTTCGGCCGCATCTCTGCCTCCTGGTGTTAGAGACTGCCTGACCTCTTGGGGCGTGCTGTAGAGGGAGGTCCTGGAGGAGGCTCGGAGGGTGGGCGGGGTCCGAGGCCGCTTGGGGTATGCAGATGAGGTGGGCGGGTCCACATATACCCGCGGGTAGCGGCTGGCGGTTGAGCTGGGTCTCCCGGATTCAGTCAGAGGCAACCTACGGAACGTGCTTCACCGATCACAGAGGAGCCTGGTCCCCGGCTGTCCCCGGAGCGGGCCATGCCCCCGCGGGAGCTAAGCGAGGCTGAATCGTCCCCGCTCCGGTCCCCGACACCTCCCCCGGGACGGGGCAGCGCGTCCCCCGAGCTGGGCATAAAGTGCGTGCTGGTGGGCGACGGCGCGGTGGGCAAGAGCAGCCTCATCGTCAGCTACACCTGCAATGGGTACCCCGCGCGCTACCGGCCCACAGCGCTGGACACCTTCTCCGGTACGTTCAACGGCCACGGCGGCCGCGTGGCTGGGGGTGGGGTTGTGCACTCGGGGGCTGCGGCTGGAGCCGAGGAGCTAGTGCACCGAAGCCCCCGGGGAGGCTGGCGGGAGCAGGCTCCGAGGTGGCGCTGCTAAGGCTTGGTGGGATCCAGGACGCTCTTTCTTTTTCTTTAAAAAAAATTTTTTTTTTCATTTATCTTTGGCTGTTCTGGGTCTTCGTTGCTGCGCCGGTTTTTCTCTAGTTGCGGCGAGCGGGGACCACTGTTCGTTGTAGTTCGCTGCTTTTCACTGCGGCGGCTTCACTTGTTGCGGAGCATCGGCTCTAGAGCGTCCGGACTTCAGTAGTTACCGCACGTTTAGTTTTGGTTCCCGGGCTCTAGAGCACAGGCTCAATAGTTGTGGTCATGGGCTCGGTTGCTCTGAGGCATGTGGGATCTTCCTGGACCAGGGCTCGAACCCTTGTCTCCTGCATGGGCAGGTGGATTCTTTACCACTGAGCCACCAGGGAAGCCTTTTTCTTTTCTTTATTAGAGTATGATTTCTTTACAATGTTGTGTTAGTTTCTGCTCTGCAACGAAGTGAATCAGCTATATGTATATCTATGCCTCCCTCTTGAACACACCCCTCCCTCCATACCACCCATCACAGAGCACAGAGCTGAGCTCTCTGGGCTCTACTGTAGGTTCCCGCTAGCTGTCTATTTTATACAAGGTAGTGTATTTACGTGAAACTTAATCTCAGAACGCTCTTTCTAACTCAGTCTTTCCCCTGCCTCTCCCCTGCAGTGCAAGTCCTGGTTGATGGAGCCCCGGTGCGCATTGAGCTCTGGGACACAGCGGGACAGGTGAGAAGTGGGACCATCTTCTACTGGTCTGGGGTGAGGTGGGTTGGAGGCTGGGAGGATCCCGGGTCCATCAGGAATGGAGAAGGCCTTGGGCCCTTAGTTACAAGTCTCAGTCTCTAAACCCAGATGACAAGGGATTCCCTGCGTCCTGTGGCAGGGAATAATGGCCTGGACTTTCCATCCTAGGAAGACTTTGACCGCCTTCGCTCCCTCTGCTACCCGGATACAGATGTCTTCCTGGCCTGCTTCAGTGTGGTGCAGCCCAGCTCCTTCCAAAACATCACAGAGAAATGGCTGCCGGAGATTCGTACTCACAATCCCCAGGCGCCTGTGCTGCTGGTGGGTACCCAGGCCGACCTGAGGGATGATGTCAATGTACTGATTCAGCTGGACCAGGGGGGCCGGGAAGGCCCGGTGCCTCAACCCCAGGCTCAGGGTCTGGCTGAGAAGATCCGGGCCTGCTGCTACCTGGAGTGCTCTGCCTTGACGCAGAAGAACTTGAAGGAGGTGTTTGACTCTGCCATTCTCAGTGCCATTGAGCACAAAGCCCGGCTGGAGAAGAAACTGAACGCCAAAGGTGTGCGCACCCTCTCCCGCTGCCGCTGGAAGAAGTTCTTCTGTTTTGTTTGAACAGCTGTGGCAGCAAAATGATCAGTAGGCCAATGGCCACAGACTTCTAGAACCTGAGACATGGGGCCTTTGAGGGGCTCTGCGGGCAGGGCCAGGCCACCCTCATGGGACTCAGTTCCCGTCTGAACGCTGTGGAGCCATGGGCCTTTAACTGCCCGCTCTTCTATGCCAGGGTGAGCCTAGGGCCTGGAGGAGGGAAGGCTCTGACTTGGATTTCTGTGGTCAAGGCTGACGGAAAAATCCTAGTACTTTGATTTTCATGGGATGATCCTGACAGCATCAGCTGCGTCCAAGCAGTTTGGGATCCAATTCCCAATTTCTTATTATGGGCCCTCAAACCAGGCTGGCTGAATTAGGACCCCTTGTGGTGGTCCCCATCCCTTCCTTGGCCCCAGGGGTGAAGAAGAGCCTGAGGAACAGCTGGGCATCTTGGAAAGCTGGAAGGTGTCCAGCCCTGATTTGGAGAGTTTAGAATGAACTGAGTAAGACAGAGGTCTGTGAGAGATTGAGAAGGAGCAGAAAGTACAGCCTTGGAGCCTTAGGACTAGAGGCAGGCTGGGGAGAAGACAGATCAGAGGGCTCCTCTTGGTACGAGGAAGAGAAAGGAGAGTAGAGAAGTGGGGCAGCTGAGGAGCAAGGCTGACACTTGGGCTGTCCTCAAAGCCTCAAGGCCAGGGAGGGCGGGGCCGGTGCCTGAGAAGAACTGGGTCTCAGGGCTCCCTAGGCACTGACCAAACTGGCTGGACCAGGAGTGGGGCAGGAAGTGAGAGGCAAAGCCCAGCAAGAGGAGGGGGAGGAGCTGCAAATCGGAGCCTAAAGTAAGGGGCTTTCTTCAAAGTCATAGCCTAGAAGACAGGGCAGTGTAGAATCTGCAAATAAAGCCTTAAGTTTCTGAAGCTGCTGTTTCTGTGTCTTTTTCTGGAGAGGTCAGCATGTTGGTCCCTCAAGGCCCAACAGTTTGGATAGAGACAACTTGGGTACCAAAAGACTGAGGCTAGATCGAAAGGTGAGGGCTGGTCTAGATGGGACTGTGATGGGAACTGGCCTGGGGGGAGGGGTTTGGGGTGCCCCATTTGGGGCTTAGCTGGTTCCCAGGAGAGCTAGCGTGGGAAGCAGCCTGGAAACGGGTTTCCCCAGGTGTCAGCGCCAGAGCTGCTTTCCCATGACCTCACCAGGCGGGAGGTGCCCCTCCCCTCTCCCCTCCCTTCTGGAGCACAGTGCTCAGCCCGGGGCTCTGGGGCAGTCCCGAGCTCTCTAACCTTCCTGCTCTGATCCTTCCAACAGTCTCCAGTGCCCCAGGGTTTCAGACCCTGAACGCAAAGGGACCCCCATACAACTTAAACCTCAACCGCTGGCCAAACTTCTTGGGCTTGGGTTGGTTGAACCCAGCCAGTCTTTAGACTTAGCACTCAAAGGCTACATAAGGCCCTAGTGAAGGTCAGGATGTCAGTGTCAATTTATATTGCTTTTTTTTTTTTTTGGCCTCTTCTGTGCGGGTTGTGGGATCTTAGTTCCCCAACCAGGGATTGAACCTGCCCTCAGCAGTGAGAGTGAAGTGTCCTAACCAGTGGGCCACAAGGGAACTCTGGTCAACAATTTAAATAGAAGTCTGGTCCCAGAAACCCTTTGAGAGTGAAGGTTCATTGATTGAGGACTTGGAGAGGAGCAGGGATTCAGAGAACATTCCCTGGACTTGGAGCTGGAAGGACATTTAACAGGTGCATTTGGAGTGGGAGGGGCAACACTTTACCTGTAAGGAAAGGGAGGCTCAGAGGAAAAAGGTAATATTCCAAGTAATATACTATTATAAGTGGCCATAAGAGCACTTTGCAAACTCTAGAGTTGGTACATGGTAAGTGTTGTTTGTGTGGAGAGGTATTTCTAAGGCCCACCTGGGGCACTTGCTAGGCACCTAATGGGCCAGGTGAGCCCTCTGTCCCAGCCCAGCTCCCGCTGCAGGAAGTTGTGTGTGTGTGAGAAAGAACGTGGCCGTGGGACAGAAATCCTAGCCAAGTGAAACCTCAGATAATCCCCAAGTTTAGTTTTGGCCAAGACTGTCCACCTTCTGCCCCACCTGGGCTCTTCCCCCAGAGCTCCAGCCACCTGTCTCCCTTCGCCCCTTGTCCCCTCAGGTGGATGGAGTCTTACCCCCACCCCGCTCCATGGCAGGCTGTTACCTCAATTCAGCCTGACACACTCCCTTCCTGGGGGCAGAGACCCCAGTTCAAGTTCAGGCTCTGGCATCAACCATGACCTTAGGCAATTTTTTTTTCCTTCTCTGTGTCCTTCTCTGTGCCTCAGTTTCCTCATTCACAAAATGAAACAAGTCTCTGGATTAGAGATTTTCAAACCACTCCAAGGTGACTTAAAGGTGCTATGGGTTAGGGGAGGAAGCCTAATCAAGTGATCTTTGGGGTCTCTCCCACCTCCAGCTTCTTCCCTAATTCTCTAATGGTACTAGTATACCCGTGTCACTTTGTCTTCCCTCCTGCTGGGTCACTGAGCCTAGTCTGCCTCGCACCTGCATCTCTGCCACTGCTGCTTCCCACCTTTAGCCCCTAGTGCTGCTTCCTTTCTCCTGGCACTTCCCTGACTCAAGACTCTTACTCGCTCTCAGTGCCTGCAGTGAACTCCCAGCTTCTCATTTCAGCACTCAAGACCACAGATCTGACACCAACCTGAACAAGGCCAGATTGTCCTAGTGATCCCCATTCCCTGATCCCCAATCATTTTTTTACTTCTGAGTCCAAGTCTTTGCTTTTGCCAAATCCGCTAGAAAGTGCCCCCCACCTACCCTCCCAAACAGATGCCCAGTTTCTCCTTTAGCCATCTTCCAGTCAATACTCACTTCTCTAGGACCTATATCATTAAGGTCTGCACTGCTGTCTTGGCCCATTGAGGAGACACTAAATTTAGTCCTTTGCTCAGGCTACACCACCCACCCCCGCCCCCACCCCGACCATCTTCAGCTAAATGGAGAGGGAATAAGTCCCATTCATGCCCCTGTGTTCCCACAGGATCATGGGCTCAGGCAACATTTGCTGCAGGCCATTAAGTGCTTGGGGCTTCCCTTGTGGAAGCCCCAATGGTAAAGAATCTGCCTGCAGTGTGAGAGACTTGGGTTTGATCCTTGGGTTGGAAAGATCCCCTAGAGAACGGAAAGGCTACCCACTCCAGTATTTTGGCCTGGAGAATTCCATAGGCTGTACAGTCTATGGGGCCGCAAAGAGTTGGACACAACTGAGCGACTTTCACTATCAGTTTCATTAAGTGCTTGAGATAAAAAAGCCAAGCAGTGAGCCCTGCAGGAGATCCTGAGGATAAAGTTCATCTCCAGGTCTGTGTCCAGGGGCCTTATCATAGGCATAAAGAGTAATGGAATAGCTTGGGATTTCCATCTTCATCCAGTGGTTAAGGCTCCTTGATGGCACTGCAGGGGGCCTGGGTTTGATCCCTGGTCAGGGGACTAGATCTCACATGCTACCACTAAGTGTTTGAATGCTACTACTAAAGATCTCTCATGCATCAACTAAATGATCCTGCATGCTACAATGAAGATCTCACATGATGCAACTAAGACCTAGATACAGTAGAGGTAAATATTTTTTAAAAAGAGCGATGGCTTGCTTGAAAGGCCCTCTGAGGCACTGGGGCCCATGCCTGTACAGAGCAAAAGGGGATTTACCTCTTGTTCCAAACCCACCGTCTCACCTGCTGTGTCTCTACAATGTGATCTCTCTTTACTTTTCTGGGACTGTTTTTCTCTCTTTATCTTTCTTTCATTTGCCTCTTTTCCCCTATTTTCTCTGCTCTTGAATCTAAAGGAACATTGAATATATTAACTGGAAAGAAGTGTATGTTTCTTACATATACAGTCTTAAATTAGTGCTTATCAAAGTAAAATTATTTTAATATCTGTGTAATCAACCCTTAGTTGATGTTTTTAAATACCTATTTTCTTTTTTCACAATCAATGCTTCTCTTACAGAAAAACTGGAAAATCCAAAGATTGAAATGTACTAGTAGTCTTAATTCCAAAAGATAATCCATAGTAACATTTTGATGTTACTTCCTTTTGGTTTTCTCTGTATATTTTTGAAATATTTCTTGTGATTATGATAGACATAATTTTGTATTTTCCGTTTGAAATTTTTATAGCTTTTTCATGTTATTACAAACTCTGATTAGAATCTGTAACCATTTATGTATGTTTGTTTACTATTTCACTCTGATCATAATTTCTTCAACTAGATCCCCATTTGGGTGCATTCAGTTTGTTTTCCTTTAAATATTTTTTTCTTTTATAAATGAGATTAAATCCACAGTTGATTATTTTTTCCACCATGGATTGGTGACCATTTACAGAAAAAGCATCCTTAACATCTTTGGCTTGGAGACTGGGCCACCATATGATCGTGAATGGGGCCTATGAGGGAGCTTGGGTTTCTTTGCCTGTTGACTTGTCAGAGGCTCTTTCTGTTGAAGCATGACTAGCAGATTGTGGGTGTTCAATAAATACTACATGATGACAAGGTATGTATATATGACATATTGGTGTTCATGTACATCCCTCTGTGTCCCTGTTTTTTCTCTTGTGTATTTCAAGTGGATATTACCTTTGTGCAGACCTCTGAACCCTTCCATGCACATGCAAGTCTGTGTATCTACATGTGTAAATGTGAATGTCTGTCTTCATGTGAGATGTGTGTAGCTCCACATGTGTACGTTTGTGTATCCACATAATGCCTGCCCTTAGGAGTGTGTATTGTACACAATTCTCTGTGCATATCTGAGTGTGTGTTGGACTTCCCATTTGGCTCAATAGTAAAGAATCTTCCTGCTGACCTGGATATCTGGGTTCAGTTCCTGGTTTGGGAGGGTCTCCTGGAGGAGGGCATGGCAACCCACTCCAGTATTCTTGCCTGGAGAATCCCCATGGACGGAAGAACATGGTGAGCTACAGTCCATGGGGTCGCAAAGAGTCAGACATGACTGAATGA